GGTTTGGTAAAAGTAACATTCTAAAAAAAAAAGAAAAATGCATAGTGTTAAACGTGTATTGTTTTTGTATGCCATTCATACCTCCTACCTTGCGTAGGAGTCTTGCTTGTCTTTTCAGTATCCATTTTAGTATATAGCAGACTCATAGATTTAGTAAGGCGAAGATTTAGTAAAACATTCCCCCTTGCATAGGGGTCTTGCTAATCTTTTCGGTATTAACACTTTTTAGTATTTTGTAAACTTATTTATTTAGTAAGACAGAGACTTTATATTTATAATATCTGTAGCAACATGCAAAAGTATGCAAATGTGACATATGTGTGTACTTATAATGCATTGCTTACATTTCTATGAATATATCTATTAAATCTTCGCAAGGTAGGACGTATGAATGGCATACAAAAACAACATACGTTTAATACTATGCATTTTTTTTTTAATATTACTTTTACCAAACCCGAGGGCGAAGCCCTCCACGAACCCCCTTGACCGGGGGCTTCGCTCCCTAGACTTCCAATTCGTATGCAAATGTTTAAATAATGTTTCAATAATACTTTCTTACTTATGCATGTTCTAATATATTTCTAATTAACACATGTTTTGTAACAAATAAATCAATTGAAATAAAATATAAATAAATTTTATTATAATAAATTATAATAATATAAATATTGCACATAAGCTGGTAGATTTTTAATACAGCATGGTGTATTGGCACCTAGTATCAAATATAAAAATTGTAAAAATAATATTGAAATAAATAAAGAAACATTAGTGTTTCTGCATATCGTGCTGCATAGTGGTGCTGTATGAAATTTGCCCACATTAAATCGGGCCATGTCTGCTAATAAACTATTTCTACGGGCTTTGCCCAGTCACGTTGAACAATGCTGACACGGCCCGGGCAATGCCGACTATGACACTGCACACTATGCGGACATTGCCCGTAACATATATAACATATAGACATTAATATATTGAGGAATATATATTAATTGTTATTATGTGATGCAATCACATTTAAAATAAATATTGATAAATAATTCACTTTTTTATTTTTTGTTTATTAACGATAGGTTTAAGTGGTTTAACTACGACGCCGGGTAGTATCGTACATGGTACACCAGCTCAGCCACCAGCGACACCATTAGATTTAAGTCCACTTAGGCATCATAGATCACCTGCTACTACTCCCGTAAGTTACTCCCCCAGTAATAGTCCAGCATTGGATATGATACAAGAAGAACATCCTGTAGAAATACCAAGGGTAAGTAACGTTTGGTTAAATATATATTAGAAGTTACATTTTAAATGTAACGTCGTGTCTTATTAACATGATTGTTATCTTTACCATGTAACAATTCAATTAATTTGCTATGTAATTATAAATTTTGATAATTGTTTACATTAGAGAGGTCACCTCTGACGAGCTCCTCCTTGATATATAGTATCAAGAATATATCTCTGAATAACATTTCGAAGGTTTTATGTGTCGCTCATTGTTTGTTAAAAAGTTATTTTTATAAAAAAACTGTTTTATAAATGGAATGTAATTTTTGCGCATTGTGTATATGAAAATATGGTAAACAAATATATGTACGCGTAGGAGGGTCTCTCTCTCCAAAAAACTGAACTCTAATCTAACCCATCATGTATGGTTTGTGTTAAAAAGATATAAATGTTAAAATTGTGTGTTAAAATTACATTCCATTTATAAAAAATGTTTTTAACATTTATTTCAATATTATTTTTACAATTTTTATATTTGATACTGGGTGCCAATACATCATGCTGTATTAAAAATCTACCAGCTTATGTGCAATATTTATATTGTTATAATTTATTATAATAAAATTTATTTATATTTTATTTCAATTGATTTATTTGTTACAAAACATGTGTGAATTAGAAATATATTAGAACATGCATAAGTAAGAAAGTATTATTGAAATATTATTTAAACATTTGCATACGAATGGGAAGTCCAGGGAGCAAAATGTTAAAAACATTTTTTATAAATGGAATGTAATTTTTGCACACAATATACATGGAAATATGGTAAACGGTACACTATATTCGCGGAGGAGAGGCGGAACCCCTTTTCCCGCACCCCCTCCCCAAAAATTAACTCTAATCTAACCTATCTATTGAAATATGGTACATTTACGTATTGCACGTATATACGCAACGCAATCTTTACATTCTTATACATAATTTGTCAATAAAAACAACATAAGAATATAAATGTAAGTAGAGGAAAATAAGTAGCCAAAAGTGACATAGGCCTCCTAAAGCGACATATCTCTATATCTCATATATTAAATGTTGTATTTTATCGAAACTAATATAAACGTAATTCGTTTTATCAGTTAAGTCATTAAAAATTCATATGTAGTATATTTCTTGTTCTTTTATATGCTAAATTAGCAAATATCGAGTTTTATCGAGAAATTTGTAAGTTTTATTTCTATGATTTTTATTAACGAATTACGTAGACCAAACAGCGATAATAATCTTTTTGTTTAATATTAAATTCTTCTACATGCATTTGGCTTTTGTACAAATATTTTTTAAATATTTTTATCTTCATTATTTTTTTACTGTATAACTTGAAAAATTTTATGAGAATGTGTCTTAAAGTGACATATGCCCTACAGTATGCGATAGATGCGATATTCTATGACTAATATAACTTGATTCTAACCTCCCATTGTGACGTCATATTTGTTTATTTTAAAGTTTAATTCTGTTTAGTTTTAAAAATATAACATATGTAAAACATATATCCCTTATAGAAATATCATACTAAGAATCATTGATAATTACTTATTTTCAGTATTAAAAATACTGGATAATAAGTAATTATCAATGATTCTTAGTATGATATTTCTATAAGGGATGAAAAATGAAAAAAATGGAAATGTTTTTATTTAATTATATTTTTTATAAATGGAATGTAATTTTTGCACACGATGTACATGGAAATATGGTAAACAGTACACTATATTCGCGGGGGAGAGGCGGAACTCCCTTTCCCGCGCCTCCTCCCCAAAAACTAACTCTAATGAAATATGGTACATTCACGTATTGCACGTATATACGCAACGCAATCTTTACATGATAAAGATATGTTTTTACTTAATTATATTTCCCTTTTGTAATATTATATTTTGAATAAATGAATATTATTCAACCATTAAACGCATTAAGGAACTATTTCCCAATGAAAAATTTTTCATATATAATTATATAAAATTATATAAAATTATATATAATTATATATAATTATATATTATTATGTATTAAATTTGTCCATTCATGTTCATACATTCTACTTATATATATAATTATATATAATTATGTTTAATTATATATATAAATTCATATATAATTTTACATATAAGTATAATTTTACATATTAGGTATAAGTTTATATGTAATTATACATATTGTTATACATAATTGTGTATAATTATATATAATTTTATATGATTATATATAATTATACACAATTGTGTATAACAATATGTATAATTACATATAAACTTATGCGTAATTATGTAAAATTATATATGAATTTATATATATAATTAAACATAATTATATATAATTATATATAATTTTATATGATTATATATAATTATACATAATTATGTATGGACAAATTTCATACAAAATTTTGCATGAAAAATTGTTCATGGGGTTATTATCAAATATTATCATATATGCAACATGTTATATAACTTTCAATGAGTATGTCGCTTTTGGCACTCATTTTCTTGGAACTTCATTTTCGTGCGTTTTACAAAAACATTTTTTGTTTTAAATATAGGAACAATTTCAGTAAAAGTATGATATTATTTGATAGGAGATACTTCCAACTACATGTATATATATTTATATTTTGAGCTTGACATTAAGACATAACCTCCAAAAACAAAGTGGTATGTCGTTTTTGGTGCCTTTTCTCTACTGTTTGAGATCTTTCAATTTACATTATATGCAAAAAATATAGCAAGCAGTATCTGCATTTATATTTTTAGATTATTTTTCATTGATAAATTATGTATAAAAATATAAGATTGGGTTACGTTATACAGGGTGTCTCGGACCTTCATAATGACCCTTTGTGAGAACGTAGAACTGATTGAGCAAGAAAGTCCTGTGCCGTTTTGCGATTTTCGCAATAGTTTTCGAGAAATTAATTATTTTGTCTCAGCTAATGAGAGCAGAAGAAGCGGCAGCCGAAAAAAAGATGTCTTCGGCGCGCGACCGTGATACGAATCGCAATTTGCTGCGTCCCTCCGCCCATAGCTACGAGACACAACGAAGCTTGATACACTAACATATGTATATGACATATTCGTGTGCCGAATTAACGCTGAATCTAAGAGTGTGTTGCCGTTTCATTGTTTCACCTCTATATACACATATGTAGTCGAAACAACGACACGTTTCGATTCGGCATCGATTCGACACACGGATATCATGCATATGTGTTAGTATATCAAGCCTCGCTATGTCTCGTAGCTATGGGCGACGCAGCGAGTCGCGATTCGCGTATATCACGGTCGCACGCCGGCCGAAGACATTTTTTTTTCGGCTACCGCTTTTTCTGCTCTCATTAGCTGAGGCAAAATCATTAATTTTTCGAAAACTATTGCGAATATCGCAAAACGGTACAGGATCTTCTTGCTCACCTCAATCCGTTCTACGTTTTCGCAAAAAGTCATCATGGAAGTCTGAGACACCCTGTATACGTGTACAGTTACTATCATATTTCAATAGATAGGTTAGGTTAGGATTAGTTTTTTGGGAAGGAGGTACGGGAGAAGGGGCGGAACCTCTCCTTTTTTTTATACACCAGAGGAAATCCTCATGGATACCCATAAGCATCCTCTGAGGTTATGCCGGACTCTTACCGGCTAAAACTCTTGGAGGGAGGGGGGAAGGATGTCTCTTATGTGGTATTAAATGGGGAGCCGGGGGAACTGCTTCTGGCAATACATCTCTGGCTTCCCTCTCCTTTGCCAGATCCCTCGCGGGTATGCTGTTACGGGGAAGTCCCGGTGTTACTCGCCGCCCAGGTTGATTTCTGTTTCTTCTAGGAGGAGCAGCGGCACCTTTCCCGCTCCCCTACGCTTTTCCCTGACTTTGGAGGGGCGGAAGGATAGATCCGCTCTCCAGTGCGGAGTCAATCCTTTCCTCCGCCGTTCTGCGGCATTCGCCCCGAAGGGGAGTTCTCGAGAGGGGCCGCGGAGAGGAGGGTTAATCTCTTCCTCATGTTATAACAGGCGTTCCCTCTCCGCGGAGTGGAGGTTGTCTTCGTCGGGGTTGGTTTGACCCCGACAGACTCGCTCCGCCGCCTTCATCTGCGAGATGACTGCCTCACAGAAGGAGGGCACCGCCTGAAAGTACTCGTCACTCCCCACCATCTTGTGGACCACGGTGGGAAGCGACAAGTCTACTCCCACGGACATGGCGCTCTTCCGCCCACGCTGGACATTCCTCCAGCGTGTGCTGCGTTGTGTCGCGCCCGTGGTCGCAGTGGTGACATTGCGTCGCGGCCTCTCGGCCTATTCAGTATAGGTACTCCCCGAAGCATCCGTGCCCGGAGGGAAGGGCCCCTCTCCCGCGCATATACATGTACTGTTTACCATATTTCCATATATTGTGTGCAAAAGTTATGTTCCATTTATAAAAAAATTTTTTAACAACTTTCTAACAAACAATGGACGACGCATAAAACCTTTTAAATGTATTCAGAGACAATATCTTGATAACATATGTCAAGGAGGAGCTTATCGCAGGTGGTTTTCTTAATGTAAACAATTACCAATTTAAATTTAATGTAAACAATTATAATTATAAATTTTCTATCAATTTCATAAGAAGGTATGCAAAAAATTATTATGTACAAACTTGTACGTTCGTTTGGTACATTTAATGAAATATTTAATATGTTGCTATCTCAGAGAAGATGCCAATAAATTGTTAAATTTTATGAACTAAGTTGTTAAATTTCATGAATTAAGTTGTAAAAATATTTAAGATGCACGTTGTTCATATTTTGTTAAAATTATATGAAATATCCAAAATTTTTTAGCGAGTTGTACAGGGTGTCCCAGAACAACCTTCGAAGAGGAGGTATAGTACAGATTGAGGTGAACATAAAAATCCTATACCATTTTGTGATATTCGCAATAATTATTGAAATATTAAAGAATTACAAATTATTGAAGTAGACTCTCTAGATATATAACCAAT